AGATTTCACTTGTCAGCGAAAATAGCGAAATTTGCCCATTGCGTCAGGAAGATCTATCCCGATTTGCTGCACTGAGGTTAATTGCGGTTTTTACTACTCCATCGCTAATGACACTAATTACCAAGAATTAAAAAAAACAAGTGAAATTAAGTCGCATTGGGAAAAAAAACCATAAGAAAATCAAAGCAACAATTATTCAACTGCAGACGAGACAAACCGCGACCTATATAAATACCTCATTCATAGAGTGCCTCATTAGTGCCCTTTGTTCACAAATATAGTGTCCTTGCATGTTTTTCAAAATGCCCATATCAAAATCATGTGTTTCCATATACAGTATGTCATAGATTCTCAGACATCTTGATCAATTTTATTGATGGATTGACCTACATGCAATTACATTCACTTATTAGGCAAAGCCTATACTTTTATAATACATGCTCTGATCACACGGGAGCTATTTACTGTTTAACTTTGATTTTTTTTGTAGGTTTATTCTGGCGTGCACCTGAACTTTTACGCTTAGAACAAAATGCACCTCCAGAGGGATCTGTGAAAGGAGATGTTTACTCATTCTCAATAATCTTACAAGAGATCTATGCACGTGCACCACCATATCACCATAATGAAGAAGAACCTAAAGGTAAGACATATTACAAACTGAATATGACAAACGTACACTTCAGAAATGTGTAACCAATCTTAAATTCTACCTGTCATTATGTTTTATATTTTAGTTCATCTGACATGAACGTTTTGGCAGTTAACATCTCACATGAACATTTTGACTGTTAACATCTCACATGAACATTTTGACTATTAACATCTCACATGAACATTTTGACTGTTAGCATCTCACATTACCATTTTGACTATTAACATCTCACATGAACATTTAGACTGTTAACATCTCACATCTCACATGAACATTTTGACTGTTAACATCTCACATGAACATTTTGACTGTTAACATCTCACATGAACATTTTGACTGTTAACATCTCACATGAACATTTTGACTGTTAACATCTCACATGAACATTTTGACTGTTAACATTTCACATGAACATTTTGACTATTAACATCTCACATGAACATTTTGACTGTTAACATCTCACATCTCACATGAACATTTTGGCTGTTAACATCTCACATGAACATTTTGACTGTTAACATCTCACATGAACATTTTGACTGTTAACATCTCACATGAACATTTTGACTGTTAACATCTCACATGAACATTTTGACTGTTAACATTTCACATGAACATTTTGACTATTAACATCTCACATGAACATTTTGACTGTTAACATCTCACATCTCACATGAACATTTTGACTGTTAACATCTCACATGAACATTTTGACTGTTAACATCTCACATGAACATTTTGACTGTTAACATTTCACATGAACATTTTGACTATTAACATCTCACATGAACATTTTGACTAATAACATCTCGCATGAACATTTTGACTGTTAGCATCTCACATTACCATTTTGACTATTAAGGTATAGATGCATGTTCGTGGGAACTCGGAGTGAATATTTTTTTTTTTTTTTTTTTGCTTTTCTTACCCAGACAGTCTTGGCTAGATAGTGTTGAAATTTGGGAGCATTGTCAATGCTGGAACATGCCCAAAAATGGATTTTAAAATATAGGGAATCGAGGCACGCGTATGTGATTAAAAGTCCCGAAAGTTTGTTTATGTTGCTCTTTGATTGACAAGTCACTGTTGATGTTATATGCAAATGAGTTGCTGGCCTCAGTTACGGTGCGGCGATGTGTAACTTCATGTCCGCGACCCTGTTTAACTTACCTCAAGCGCTATCAACTAGTCTTGCAAACTACAAAAAAAAAGACAAGACGTAGACACTTCCACCATGCAAGCGGAATACAAAAAACATACAGTTGTAAATGATAAGTAAACTTTTTCACCCTTATCTCGCAACATGTCGACGACTTCTAGCCTGGCAGCTTCCAGTGGAGTACTGTTAAATATTTTTTTTCACGCATTTTTTTCCCCGAAGGCATTATAAAACTGACTAATTATACATTTGTCGTTTCGTGTAACGATCACCGTGCTGATAGCATTGCGATGTAGTAGTGGATAAACACCATTCAGACCATTGCTGTGCTGTCATCGATAACTAACTTTTCAGTGGCAAAATACACAAACGTGA